GTTACGGACTCCTTCCTCCTCATTAAACCTGCCCCCCCCCCTCATTTTCAGCTGGGTGGGGCCAGCCCTCCCCCTTAATCCAATCATGGTATCTCACCTCAAATCCACCACGTAGTATGCCAGTAAACTTCCGTGAGTGTATGAAACAAAAAAAACTTCCATGAGTGTAAGATTGCTCTGTGTGAAATGATTGTATCTATTGATTTTTTGCGAGGTTCATGCAATATTTTCGCTCGTTTAGAGTGCATGTTTTGGGTGACAGCAAACAACTGCCAAGTAAATTATTGCCCACATCACTTTAAGCATCTCCTCGAAACGTTGTGCTGAGCTCGACACATTTGCGAGTCATCAGAACTCTCCGTGTTGTGTGTTGTGGCATGAATATACTGAGAGCCTGAGCAACCTCATATTCTGGAGCTAAGCTAACCAATAAACACGAACATAGGTAGTACTTATTTGTAACCCAAAATATTAGTAAAACTAATTTTCCTATAAATCCTACTAGACTGTGTTTGTTAAAACTAGGCATTGATTTTGTTTATCCAAAAACACTAGATGTCAACTCAGTGTCCTTCTTTTTTTAAAGGAGAATTACCCCTGGCCACTGCATCAAAATGATGCATGTAACCATCTTTATTAAGTTATTCAATAGAGTCTGATAAAAAATACAAAGATCAACCTAGAGTCATCTTCGAGGCGAACAAAGTCGCTATACCTACAAGTATAAAGATGTGTCATGACCGCATCAAGGGACACCATCTAATCCAGTGACCTCAAGAAGTTGCCTGCCTGGCAAGCTGAGAGCATCAAGCAGTTTAGGTGTCCAACAACGCGCACGGCATGTGCGTGCTCTAGGATCCGCCGCTGCCACCTTCCGTCGTCCCATCTTCAGGATGGATCATTGCATAGACATTGCCAGGCCCATCTACCGTCGAGGACACCACGACGCCAGACAACGCCACTAGCATGTGCACATCCATCAAACCGCGTCCAACGCTGAGACTCCAATGCTCCAGGACGCCGAGACCATCCGTCTTCAATGCAGTAGATGCAGCACCGCCCCACCTGTTGGCCCCTCAATGGAACCTCTGCTCCAAAACAATGCCCTCGAGAGGGAAAATGGCACCATAGTCTCCGTCATCCTCCGATCCAGGAGAATCGGATAGCGTTTCCCCGGAACAGATGCCCCTAGAGGAAGAGGGGCACACCATCTGCACCTGCCAACGAACCCAAACTGTTCTCACCATCACAAAGCTCTCTTGGCGACACCTTTAGGAAAAACATGACACCATGAGCGATGTCACCGCCACCACAGTTAGAATTTTCACCCGAGATGCAATGAGGTGGGAAGAGGTAGGGCGGACACGAACGACGTGTCCAAGAATAATATCGGCACTCGCAGGTGTTGTTGTCATGGCTGGCCAGATCTGACCAGGGAATTATCCCGATCTAGATCCCAACCTCCTGCTCCGCCCACAAACTGATGATCGGCTACCTAGCCAGCATAGCCAAGTCCGGCGAGATTGAAGCGCACCTAGACGTGACTGTAGGCAATGGAAAAAACGGCGTCGTCAGTCGCTGGAGCATTACTACCATGGCCCAAACCCGATGTTGGTACATCGGCCACCCAAGCTGACCTCTGGCAGCCCGCTAGCCCCATGGCGGCATTGGATGGGGAACCCTCACCAAAGGGAACGCCGTCCATGATCCATGGATCGCAGCGCCATAACAATGTCGCGCAACCGGAGAAGGGCCCTACTGTCGCCTTCCTCGGAGCCATTCGGACTTTGCCGGAGGGCGCCTCAGGCAGCGGCGAGGGGAGGAAGGTGCGGCAGGGAGGAAGGGACGTCGGGGTGAGGTAGCAGCAGCGCTAGATCGCGAGTTCCTTCTGGTCGCCCGTGATGCGTTCCTGCTGAAGTCGCTCTGATCCGTTTTTAATGGAGCGGTATGCTCGATAGGATCAAATGGAACCAATAATGTTCTCAAAATCCTTCCTACATGATTCTTGATGCCTAAACAAGTGGTTTTTGTGTTGTTTCCTTGATGTTTGATACCATCTTCATAAATGTAGACCATGAATAATATATGCCATCAATAAGATAATAACCCATTTTAATTGATGTCCATTGACTTCAAAGTTCACCGGTGGTGCTTTCCGGTAGCTAGCATTGCAAATAAATGAGATCCTTGCAACACATTGGGGTCATTATGAGATCCTGACAATCAAAAATAGGAATGCCAAATACATAGATCATTTGACGACACAACTTAAGAATTATTGTTGCATCTTTGCAACGGGCTTTGCATTGGCCATGCCATGCCATAGGAAAATTCTTCCACTTCTAATGCATGCAATCGATACTTCCAAGCATACCGGGGAAGTCATTTGATGCACATATCTGCAGAATCTTTGTAGTGACAACTTTATTTGATGCTCGGAGACACCTCTCTCCGAATATATCGATGATAACCTTCATAGATTTTTTTTAACTTTTAATAATTGTGCTATCTGCAACTCTGATTCAACCATCAATAGAATTAGCTGGACAATCATATGCAATCATGCGTACCGACGGCGCAACCTTCTTCAAAGTACTCCCTCCAGTCCCTTTTACTATGCATATTAGCTTTGACCGAAGTATAAATTTGTGAAGTTGATCAAGTTTGTACAAAAAATATCAATGTTTTAATACCAATTCAATAACATTACATGCAATAGAATATATTTTCATATTATATTTATTTGATATTGTAGATGTTGATAGTTTTTTATATAAATTTGGTCAAGGTTTATAAAGTTTGGCTTGAGAGAAATCTAAAATGCGGACTAAAAGAGAACGGATGGAGTACTATGACAAGTTGACCAACTAAATTCCTTTTTTGCACGAAGTATGAACAACTTTGGAAGATGGAAGTACCTTTCATGATCTTGTGACATGCCCCAAGGCTATAAGAGAAATTTCGAATTTCCCTGGGGAAGAGTTGTCTATTTATTCTGGGAGGGGTTGGTTGCTTATTATGTTAGATCAGCTAAGTTCGTCGTGGCGTGAACAAATTGTATTTATCTTCTGAATAGCTTGGCACTTAAGGAGTTATTTAATTTTTGGAAAGGGATTGGAATCCATTTCAGCCTCTGTTAATTTCATGAAGAACTATTGGTCCTCGTTTGTGTCTTGCCACTTCACGACCTAGATGGGTTTTCTAATAACAATAAGGGCAAAAGGGGTTGTGGATGTAGTGAAGGCTACTACTAATCTTGAGAGGAAGCAAGACGTTTGGCAAGCCACACGTGCGGAGTGTATAAGGTTCAATGTCGACACAAGTTTTGTGGAATGTATCAATGCTACTAGCGTCGGGTCGTTGCCAGAAACTCATCAGACGATGTCATTATCTCGTTGTGGGATCTTATTGGGATTTGTTCCAATGTGGAGGAAGCATAGCTTCTGGCGTGTTTTGCAGGTCTTTATATTGGATCACCCTTCAGAAAACCCACTATTTTGGAATCTAATTGCTCCTTTGTGTTCTCTTTCCTTGCTATTGATAGGTTTCACAGGTCTAGCCTAGTTAATCCGAAAAAGGAAGCATATGCTATGATTGGGCTTTTTCAGCATCTTAAGACTTCCAAAATCAACCATGGTGCTACTATGGTGACACATGAGATTACAAAATTTAGTTTTACTAAAAGATTGTATGGTGTTCTTCTTAATTATATCCCGCCCAGCGTGGCGTATGCTGTAATAAATGATTGTAGTAACTTGACTCCTTGATTAATATATGGGGATGTTTTTCAAGAAAAAAGAGCTTCCACAACATCTCCAATGGACTTGAACAAATCTCGCGACATTCAAAAGTTTCTCTGAAAAGATTAATGTCCAGACAGTGAATTCTATCCAAAAGAATCCTCCATAAGTTTATCATGCCTTACCTACTTGTTCCGACAAACTACCACAGGCTCGGGCACTGAGCCACCATGCATGGGCCTCTTATTTATATAATGTTCGAATACAACGTCATTGCAATCTCAAAATCGTTGTCATCGTCTGACGATGAGTCATTGAAGAACAAGCGAAGTCATATGCGAAAAATACATATACGGACAATTACATCATCGACAAACTCCGAAATTCTTTATCACATAAAAATGGTGAGGAATTTAGTCAAGCACCTTGATGGCCTCATGGATACCGTACGAGAGCAAGAGATGACGAGCGGGTGGCGGAGGGGAGGAGGAGCAACAGTGTGGCGGGTGGCGGAGGGGAGGAGGAGGAGCGTAGGCGGCCGTGCTCGACGGTGGTTCGGTTGGCGTGGACAGCAACTCTGTGCGGCAAGCCAACGGGTAGGGGGGGTGACGGCGGCGGTGGTGATGGCGAGGTGGCGGCGTGGCGGGGCACTAGGCGGACCTCAGGGCGCACGTGGGAGGACGAGGCGAGGTGAAAATTCAAGTTGTTAGCTCCGGCCAACGTTTTTTAGGCCAATTCACACTCTATCAGGAATTTTTTGGAGAAAGGGATCCACCGGAGAGCAGAACCGAATTTTTTACTTATTTGATAACAGTTTGCCAGTTCAAAAAATATGTTAATTCCACGGTGAAAAACAAATAAACACACACATCTGTGATTTTTTTTCTTGACCGGTAGTGCCTGAGATCAAATGTGGAAGTCGGTTGTACATTTATTTTTTCGGTTGGACCTTTTTTCGGCACGGTCGCCTGGCTCGAGCCGCACCACGCTTGGCAAGGTCGCTCGGCAGAAGCGAGTCTTGCTACAAAACGGTCTGTCTCGCGGGCAGCGGGATCGCTTCCCCCGTGCTGCCGTCGCCGGAAACAGAAACGGGAAAGACCCCCATTGTCTTCCCTCCAGTTCGCTCGTGACCCCTCATTGCAAAGAAGTTCGCCAGCGATCCAGTCCAGGCAAAAGGCGCACGCCGCGGACGAGCTCGCCGGGGAATACGAGAAGCAGAATACGGCCGAGGTTGCCCGCCGGTACCAAAAGCAGTCGGCGATGGTGGTTCCCACGGGCGGGGCAAGCGCGGAGGCCGAAAATCTTCGCCAGAAGCGGTTGATGGGCAAGAAGGAAGAGGGCTCGCCGACGGCGGCGGCCGACGCCAAGATTCTTCCTCAGAAGCGCCCGCCGGGCAAGAAGGGCGGGGGCTCGCCGACGGCGGCGGCCGACGCCAGGATTCTTCCTCAGAAGCGCCCGCCGGGCAAGAAGGGAGAGGGGTCGCCGCCGGCAGCGGCGGAGACCAAGAATCTTCTTCGGAAGCAAATGTTGGGCAAGAAAGGAGAGGGCACGCCGACTGCAGCCCCGGACGCCAAGAATCCTTACCTGAAGCAGCCGGCCGGCGAGAATGCAGTTGGCTCGCGGACGGCCTCCGCGGACGAAACCTCTGACGGCGAGCAGTTGCTGAGCTTATCTGAAGCTCTGTATTCGAAGAGTTACGGTGATGTACCGGTGGAGGTGTTCATGACTGTGCCGGTCCGGCGGCCTCTTGACCGGCTCAATCTGGCAGATATCAGCCGTGAAGCCGCAGGCAGGATTGTGCTGGTGCAGGGCTTTGCGCAGACGATAAAGAAGGTGAACAAGAACATTACTCTGGTAGTCCTCAGAGAGGGTTTGAGCAGTATCAAGTGTGTCGTGTTGGCGGATGATCCGGGGATATGCGAGGACATGGTTACTTTCATCCGGAAGCTGAATAAGGAAAGCTTTGTTGAAGTTGAAGGACTAATTGAGACGATGCGTGGCACCCAGCAGGTCGGTCTGAAGCAATGCTGACAATATGCATGTACTCCGTATTTTCTGCTGACAATGTTTTGTATTTTGCGTAGTGAAAAATCTTATCCGTGGTTGTTCACGTTTTCAGATTCGAGTCAAGAAGCTATACTGTATTGACGAGGCGGGTGGACTCCCATTTCAGCTCGAGGATGCAGCCCGAGGAGCACATAAACAGTTTGACACGGTGAGCCGTCCAAAAAGTGTTAACTTGTTGTTGATGCTCCATGTTTCTTGTGTGATATGAAGCATTTGCTCGGCGGCTGATGCTTAGGTCTAGCACCTAGTAGTAGTAGATACTGACCAAATGTTTGATTTGATTTGCAGCAAGGAAAAAAGCTAGCCCATGTTTCCCTCAGTGTTCGCTTGAACTCAAGGTTCTTTGATCTCAGGATTAGGGTCAGTCAGGCTGTCTTCTGGATTCAGAGTGAAGTAACGACTGTAAGTACTAGCACTTTATGTTCAACTTAATACTACATCCTACCCATTGCCTGATAGTGCAGCTAACTTAGCTATTATCTTAGGGTCCAGTTCAGCAAATTTTCTGATGTGACACTGAGTTAATAAGAAGAGTAGAGTATTTGGTTACGGTAACATAGCGCACAGCTTAATTAATGGCAAAACGATCCAGTGCGGGTGCGTCGTAGAAAAAGGAAAAAAAAGAGTGTGTCTAGGGCACATCTAGATGTGCTCTACTTATTGCACATCTAAGTGAGTGAATCAAGTATAAATAGAAAAAAAAAAAAAAAATATTCACACGAATCTCGACGTAAGATCAATGACATAGGATTTAGATGTGC